ACGCAAGAGGACGTCGCACGGTATGAACGCGGCCTTACGCAACTTACGCAAAAGACGTCGCACGGTATGAACGCGGCCTTAGACGTTGGCCGCAGACTATGAAAGCACACAAGAGCGGGTTTGACGCCACTCTCAAAAGCAGCCTCCCCAAAAAACGAGGTCAGAGAGTCTTATTAGGTTGGCTAATAAGTAATGGCCGTTTTTTTCAATTGAAAAATTTGTTCGAAAAGTGAAACGTTTTGCAAGCAAGTTATATATCATCTGATAGGAAACTTCTCGTAGTATAAGAATATCAAAAAAGCTTTGGTTGGATATATAGTTTTTGTGAATTTTTAGTCGTTGAAGTTGGAAGTGAAGTCGGCGAAAATTAGCATCTTCGACAACTGCCTTATTAGGAAATTTCTATGATAAAGTTGAATTACATTTGAATTTAGTAATGTTAAATATCTTACATAATACTACGGAGAAGTTTCTATTATACGATGTGAAGTTGCCTGACAAAACTTCTCACTTTTTGAAGAACTTTTGTCAATTGACAAAAAACCGGCCAGTATCTTCACTTAGACAGTGCCCACTAGTCAGGATTATTTAGCTGGCTAATAAGAAATATTAGCCTGGGCAATAAGGTAATGTCCGTTTTTTGTTCAATCGAAAAGAATTCAGTTCATAAATAGGTCATACGTTCTTGAGAAGGCAAGGCTTAATATCGTTTAATAGCAAACTTCTCGTAGTATTAGAATATCAAATTCAAATTCAATTAATTCAACTATTAGCATGAAATTTCAGGTGGAACAGACAAAGTGTGAGCCTGTCGGCCAATATTGGCAAGTATGAAGGGTGCCAATTTGCGATATTTGGCTCTTGTAATTTAGGTCCAAAGCGTCCTATTGATGATTCCCCTCTCTCACACTTTACCTCACCTTCTTTCAATATGTTATTGCGAGTCAGCTTAAGCTGGATTTTAGCACTTCGACGTAGATGCTCGATAAATTAAGTAGTGAGGCAGTTGTCGAAGATGCTAATTTTCGCCGACTTCACTTCCAACTTCAACGACTAAAAAATTCACAAAAACTATATCCTCAACCAAAGCTTTTTTGATATTCTTATACTACGAGAAGTTTCCTATCAGATGATATATAACTTGCTTGCAAAACGTTTCACTTTTCGAACAAATTTTTCAATTGAAAAAACCGCCATTACTTATTAGCCAACCTAATACTATACGCTAGATCGCTGCGAACGGTTGGGCGTGTCAGGCAGTATGGGTGGTCACGCCCTCAAAGCTGTTCTCTGCCTTCTTGTTGAAGCGCAGCGACAAAAGTGGTAGAAAACGTAATACGAACGATATGATAGTCATATCACTTGCTCGCTTTAACAACTGGTGGAGAACGGGTTTGGCACCGCGCCAAACTCATCCCGCCTGACACGCCCAACCGTCCGCAGCGATCGAGCAGCGAACTACACTGTATGTGTCAAAAAACCGAAACTCAGAAAGAGGGAGAACTGTCTCACGATTTCTTGTTAAAGGAAGGATCTTAAGATCAGTTGGAGCCCTGTTGTGCCTTCAAACAAATCAGTGAGTTCAAGAGCAAAAAGAGTATTTACTGTTTCATAACAGGCAAAAACCAGAGCTATATCAATGAAAATAACTTCATTCCCATCCAAATGATACTAGGAAAAAAAGAAAAATAGGAAACTATGATACCTTGTCGTGAACAACAAATAGTACGACTATGATGTGCTATGGATAATCTAATTCTATCTGAGGCAACCATTATATCAATATACAACCGAGGACTGGATTAAAGAGATCTAAAGCATAAAACTGAACTAGATTACTTCTGTTGAAGATCTTAGCATCGTCAATAATATCAAAGTTCCCAGACACAGCTAATCGCATGAATCAACAACTAGACTGTCTAATGACAAGTGCCAAAGAGCTCGCAAAGATGCAGGTAGACAATAAATCCAAATAAATCCTTTCAGACGCCACAACACAAATAAGTCGAGAATAAACTGTTGAGCAAACAACTAATTCTTAATGAATCAGTTGAATGAACTACTTGTACATGATCCCGAAATTCAAACCCGGGTACACCGCTCCGAATGAAACTTGTGTAGGATAAAGTGAGTCGGAGACACTGGGGTTACAGTCAGCAAAAACGTGACCAATCACAGAAAGAACAACCAAAAAGGACGAGAACAAAAATAGAGCAGAAAATATCTTCTGAAGCAGTTAACCTGTACAACTAGAACTACTACAATAGCTCGTCAAACGACTTCCATGCAGACTTCCTTCCGTCTTCAAAGGAAAAGTGTGTCTGGATCCACTGATGGATCTCTGGTGTTGCGAAAACGATACGCCAGCCATACTCCAACCAACTAGAACATTCTCGAAGACTTGTCATTGTATGCTTGACAGCATAAGAAACGGAAACACCCATGGAAACACTCACCTCTGTGAAACTGAAGAAGAGCCCTAGTAATCCAACTCGAGAAAGATTGCTGCTCGTTACATCGACAATTTTCGGCAGACAAGGCTCACATCGATCCCAGCATTGAAGCTTGAACACATGAACTTCGTTAATTGCATAAGGCACCAGAGGGCAAACAAACGGTGTTTGAAACAAACTGCAGGCTTACCTGCTGGAACGTCCCTGCCATGTGCGAGGCGAACGTGTCCGCAGGTGCAGGCAGTATTGCACCACTCTATCCGGCAAAAAAGGCACGGGAACGGGGTTTCAGGGTAACGATTTCCGGGTGCCGTTTCCGTACTCCGCCGCCACTAATGTAAATGTACAGCATTACCGTGGCAGTAATTTGAAGGGCGCTGTCTTGGTTATGGTACCGGTGGCCGTAATTACTGGAAGTTAGCTTCTTAATTCGCTCGTACTTCGATACCAAAGCCCTCAGCGAAGAAGAAGCTAACTTCAGTAAGCTAACACAAGAATGCTGAGTTATGGGCAAAAGTCGGACCACGGACGGGATTCGACCCGCCCGTGGTCCGACTTTTGCTCATAACTCAGCATTCTTGTGTTAGCTTACGGATCGCCGGTACTCGGCGTGAACATGCGTTAAACAGCAGTTAATCAAACAGCGTAACTTCCAGCTATTACTGCCCGTACTGTAAAACGCCAAGAAAGCGCCCTTTAAATTGTCCATACCTGTCGTAGGTGCGTTGAAAACATCAGCACGGGCATTGAAACTACATTGAAACTACGCCGATAATTTCCTTTGTCTGGGTGGAAGAAGACTGGTGTGTTTCGGATGTCGCTGTGAGGACTTCGATGTAAGGATAGGCCTGATCTATCTTTCTGCTACTCTTGCTTCAAGAACTTTGGTGGTGTTGCACGCTTGCTGTTAATCAGTGTGGTATAGAAACGGTTACCAAAGCTCGCTAAAGTAGACGTTAAATTGAGGTGGTACTCCGTTCGAATTATTAGCCTCATCGCCTCGAAAGGTGGAACAGGTGGTACTTGCATGCAGTTGTTGTCAACTACGACTTTTCAACCTAGGAATAATTTTTTTTTCACAGAACCTAGCTACATTAGTGAAATCATGCACTGAAGTAGAACAAACACTACTGTGGAAACTAGAGGGCCAAAGTTGAGACGGGCACCGCTCAGGTACAGTTCCGCCAATATATGCCAAAAACGTTGTCTAGGAGTATTTGATACTGGTCACGGGTGTGCAGCAAAAGAATCGTCCGGTGCAGCTGGTGGGCGTGGCCTGCAACATACTTGCGGCGAGAACAAGACAGGCGGTTACGTTATTGAAGGGAAGGTAAATACTGATATCACCCAAGATCGAGTCTTGTGTACAGTTACGGTTAAGTTCTCAGTTAGAGTACGAAAAAATTCAATAGAGCAGCGAAATCATTGGGGGTCCTTAACGATTGTTCTGGTTTTCATCTTTGCAGGCAGCTCAAAAAAACTTGCCACACTTCCCCTATTAATGACGCTGGCGAGTGTGCAAATCATGTGAACCACATGAACATAGGGAGAATCACAGCTTTACCTGATTTCTTTTGCCTTGTTTTCCTGAAGTTGCGTTTATGGAACCGCCAAACAATTGTGTGTTATTATCAAGAGAAACATCATTGATTTTCGGTCATTGATGAAACATGCTAAATGTCGCGGATGTACGCTGTATCATTTGCTCCAGTCGCCAAGTTATCGTCTAGCAAATGCACGTGAGCTGCTGAGTCATTCGCCGCGCGACGCGCCGCGTGCCCTGGACGATTCTGTTGCACGTCTCCCGTCAGTCACTATCCTGACCCTGAAGTTTCTTGTCAGCACTAAGAACCAAGACGTGCTTGCACCCGAGACCCTGGATTACCTCTACAATCTAACTACCATTCTGAAGTGAACTGAGTCTGAACAGATGCACCAAACTGGCGCCAAATGGTATCGTCACGAAAAATGTCATGTCAGTGATCAGATCACTTTTTATGTCTAGTGACTGTGACGTTTTTCGCGTAATTTGGCTCTTTATAACCAGGTAATTATTAGGAAAAAAAGCATAAGTGAAATGTGCACGAGATTTCTTCCAGTGCAGTATGTGCAAGCGTTTCCGCACAATTCTCGTAGTGGTACTGGCGTAAAGTTCAGTGTTATACGTACGTCCACTGCGGAGTTACAATTAACTGGGCGCCGCTTTGGGTTACGGTAGCGTGGCGGTAATACTGAAGTTAGCTTCCTGTCCGCAGCGAAACGCGCACTCAGTGGTAGAGATCACCCAGAAGTGAGAGGGCGCAGACAACGAGCGCGTTGTTATGGTTGAACGTGTGAGTGGCGTGCAGGAACGATTACTGCGTGGAGTATGGATACGGCTCTTGGCCATCACCACCCTCCAGCCCCGTTCCCGTGCACTTTTGACCGAAGAGACTGCCCGCTACAGTACTGCAGCTGCGGACCTACCACGAATGGCTACGACCAGAATCCACTGAGGTGGATGTACAGTTTGATTCTAAGAGAGAACAACAGACCAAAGTCCCTCACTTTCGAGCAATCACTACTCTGATCCTCCTTATCCAAACCACAACAACTGAATGCGTTCTGCGCATCCCATTTAGCAGCCGCATCTGACTTTTTCCATCCACTTCTCACCACCTGAGAATCTTTGATGAAGCAAGTTTCCAGCTAGTAAAGTTTTGAAGTTACAAACCTCCTCAAGACCACTTTCTGACATGTTGCCAAGGCAAACAATTGCCACAATAAATTGAATAGTGAAAACGCACGACAGTATGATCATGTACTGAATAGGACAGAAATTTTGTGGAATTAACGATAAAAACTTGTACAATCATAGAAACCGGAAATTTGGTAGAATTCACGAAATGCTCTGCACTTTGAAGAAGGTCATTCATACTTCAAAGCCCTACAAAAGGCAGAGTGTGGGCTGATGATCTCAAAAACGAGTTTGTTGACGCTAACTGCCCGCTCGTGGAGAGAGGAAACAAAAGGAAGGTGCTCTAAAAGCTACTGGCAGTGGTTCACCTGGAGTGCGAGTCTACAACGAAAGAAAAGAGTGCCAGGATGAGATCAGAAGCAATGAGGCGAGAGAGAGCACGCAGAGGAGCTGGACAACAGGCAGCAACGCACCCACTAATCGCGTACAGGGAGGAGACTGCTGTCGCAGGAAGGCCTAGGCTCGCTAAATGAACCCCTAACGTCTTCACTTACAACCTTAAGTAGCGATATTACAACCCAGTTTATCGCGGAATGAGCCTTCAACCCTCATCGTGCGTTTACTTACGAAAAACAGAGCAGCTTGATGTTGTTTCTTTGTCCCATAGATTCCGAGAAGAGCAACCAATATGAGAAATACACCGGCAGCAATGATACCACCTGAACGAGATTACTGCCA